GTTTAAGCCATGTACCAACAGTGATAGACTATCACTAACAATCCATTAGAAACCGACAGTAATAGGCCGACAGTTAATGTCAACTTTGTAGTAGTGTAAGATTACTTTTTTACTATACCTAGAATTTATTATGAGTCTTAGAATTAATTTTTTAATTAAAATAATGTTGGGTTAATCCCATATCTGTATATCATGGATTACGATGTGCATGCATATGCCGTACGTAACACACGGGCCTATAATATTGTGAATGGAGCGAATTAGGTGTAACTCAATTAAGCTCTTTGTGTTGGAAATTTGACGTGACGTATTGTTGTGTCCAATAATTCAAGATTTGTAGGCGCCTGTAACACACGGGCGTTAATATTGTGAATGGCGCGGATTCTTGTGTCCAATAATTCACATCTTCAGGTTCGCTTCAAGATTTGTAGGCGGCGGCTTTGATTTTGTTGATAGGTCAGGCCAGGGCGACAGGCAGGCAAGCACAGCGGATAGATATAATCCTATTTTATTTGTTTATTACCTAACTTGTATTAGCGTCCCTCTCTTTGAGTCAGATAAAGATGGTTTGTTTTGTTCGATCATGGAGAAAATTCAAACAAGTAGCCAAGAAGAAATTTATCTCTTCAAAGATTATTTACAAGACAATTTTAAAACAAACAAAAATATTGAAAATAGAGGCGCATTTTTTTAAAAGCTACTCCGTCCTGAATTACATGTATCTAAGCGTTCAAAATTTGCCCAAATGATAAAGGATTCAGATGACCTAACCCTCAAAACGTAATTTAAAAAGGCAACACTCACCTGCATACTTATCATTAGTTTCTGTTAATAACCCAAATATATAGTAACTCGGAAGGGTTACGTGTGTTATTTGGTTTACGAATATATGTCATAGAATTCTTAGGATACCTTATATTCTAGAACACACGATACTTAAGGCAGATTTTATTTGGAGTAATTAGTTAATCCCTTCGCCTCAAATTAAGATCAACTTCTAGAGCTATCCCAAGTTAAATTATTTTAAGTTTGACCAAATTTATAGAAAAGTGTAGCAATATTTATGATACCAAAACATTACTTTTTTGTATTTCATATAATGTTTACTCTTATATGCTTAGTTCCTGATATTGTATGCACTGAAAGGTTGGTCTTTCCATCGGTTTATGTTCACAATGTGGCACCTACTTTGGTCAACTGTTGTGTGTCTGTGTCATAAAATTTTTCGCTGTCAGTGTGTCAATCTGCAGGGTATCCTTCATAGAGTTGATAAAAGACCGAGCGGGCTGGGCCTCGTGTCACATAGAGTCCAACTTTCTTCGCATCGGACAGGGGTGTATGTAACCCAACAGGCCGAGAGTCGAAGATAGAGCCCAACTCCCCAACTGACAAAGTCATTGTCGTTCTATGTGACACAAGGCCATTGTGCATCCAATTTTTTTTCTTAAAAGAATTGTTAAAAAGTGAAGAAGAAAGTGCAAGCCCTATGCTATGTTAATTCTTTATAAGAAAAATCTACATGAGATTCAAACTGTTTGCAGATCGATACTCACTTTAAAGTATATATGCCAGTTCGAGCTTCTTATATGAATATAAATATAGTTGATCCATAATTCAACTCCCACTAACCGATAGAATTTCATCCAAGGTTAGTTACGTGGCACATTATCACTCGCTAGCTAGTAGCTACAACAGCCTATATAGGTTCACTTTCAGGTGCCAGGGTAGAAACACCGTTTTCAGAAACCAAACAGGTTAGATGGACGGCGTTGCCGTGGCCGGATCTTCCTAATCCTGGACTTACGCATCAAACAAAGTTAAACTGTCAGCATCAATAAAGTGGCGTCCATGTCTCTGTCAGCTTCGAAACCACATTCCCCGGTCGCTACAACTTCAGAGCTACCATTCCTAATAACCATCCTAAGGCAAAATGAAATGAAGCTGCGCGACTGCCGACTGGCCAAAAAAGGCACAAGGTTTTGGTTCCAAAAGCGTGTGGCACACCAGGTCCGGTGCGTAATTGGAAAATGAGGATGTGCCGATTCCCGGGCGACGGACGGGCGTCTCGCGTAAACGGCCTCGATCGGCTAAGGTTATTTTGGTTTCTGGCATAGACGAAAAGAAAGCCTCACCGGAGACCACCGACGGACGGACGGACGACCCCACCGGCCACAGCCGTTCCAGACACGTCCAGTGTCAACCCCATGCGCTCCAATGGAGCTAGCTCGCCAACCGCATCTAACAAAACAAAAAGAAAGGGGTACCATGCATGCATGATGCTAGCCACAGGGAAGCTGATGAAATCCGGCCGCTCGCTGCCTCTCTTGTTTTTCCTACCTAAAAGCCTCGTCAGTGCAGCTACCGAACTGACAGTCCCGGCTTTATCAGGCCAAACCAATGCAGCCCCCCATGGGACCAGAGAGCAACGGCTTCGGCCAAATGTAATCTAAAAAGTAATCAGGATAAAGTTTGTCACCGGGGAAAAGCAAGAGGAATTTGGTGTCTGATGACTGCCCCCAAGGCCCAAGCACCTACCTACTGGATAAATGCCCGTAGATGTTTGACCTCAATAGCAAGCGTATTTAATCATGTACTGATAGACTACGCGTCTATGCATTGGCAGAACCACTTGGGAACGTATGGTTGTATTTAATCTGAATTTCGGAGGAATAATCTCCACAGATAACGGTTTTTTTTTTGGCTCGACCAGGAAATACAACTAAAACATAGTAACAGCTGTGCGTCTCAAAAGGTCATCAGAAAGAGCCAGAAATGAGGAATATATATGGATTTCTTTTTTCAAATTTAGATACCAGCAGTGAACAGATAATGCTCACATGAGGATTCTTTTTGAAACGAACATGTATGGTTCTTTTTTTCAAATTTAGATGAAATATCAAGCAATTATTGGAGTAGTGTCATTTACCTATATCACTGACAGTGGGATCATCAAAATCACTAAATGCAAAACCGAAATAGAAAATCGTGTCACATCATAAGATGGCAAATTTTGTATTCACGCACTGCTCACTTGGGTCATCTTCAATTTTCTGGTCGTGGTTGTCGTTCCACCATTGTTCCCAATCCTCACCATATGCATGAATGCTAACAACCACCTGCACCTTCATTCACGACCATCCACCTCCGGCGCCCCTTCCTCTCCAAACAAATGCTGCTTAGGGTTCAAATCGAGGTTAATGGTAGAGAAAATTCACTGCAACCCTAAGCATCGAGGTTCATGGTAGAGAAAATTCACTGTAACCCTAAGCATGTGTTTGGTTTGGGGACATCATGGAATGAGATGGTTATATATATATATATATCCCAAATTTTTAGAATGGGATTATCACATTTCATGTTTGATCGAGGAGATAGAGCCCTCCTAATTTCTTGTTTGGTAAAGGGATTAGGATGGTGGATGGATGCTAAGGTCAGCACCGTTAATCGCCGTGAGTGGTGGGCCCCATGCGTCATCCACACATGCATATCTTCATCATCCTCATATGGTTCCACACGCGGACAACGCTCATCTTGCTTGATTCGACTGCTACTGGACCCGCCCCGACCTAGCTACGCTGCGCTGCCCTACCAGAGCCATCTCTGTCGCACCACCTCGCTAGAGCCGCCCCACCCTGGCCGCTCCATCCTATAAGAGCCATGCAATGTTAGCCCGCACCCACGGCCATGTGTGCCTCGCAACGGAAACGAGTGGCAATGTGACGCGAACAAAGATGGATGCCTCTGCCCCTTCAATTTTTTGGGCTAGATCCATGCATCTCCCATTGCTCTAGAGATGGATCCAACACATCTGCCTCTAAATCAAACACAAGCTAAAATAGGATCATCACATCGCACTTGATGTCTCTAACCAAACACCTACTAACTCACCATCTTTAACCTTGTGGCGTTCCACAGCGTCGACGTTAGGTGTGATTGCTTTATTTTTTTTCTTATTATTTCTTCTTTTGCCAAAGTTGCTTCTCCGTTAGCACACGGTGGTAACATGTGGTAAGGCTTGTCGGTCGGTTTGCTTCTTTTTTCGTGTTGTTTTCTTTTCTGCAAAACTGTTTCTCCGTTACCATACTGCTTTCTTTATTTTTTTCCGAAAGGACAACAAAGTTTTACTGTAAATAAATTTTATTGACAAAAGAAAATAAAAAGCAAGTGCTGTTCAGTTTTCATTGCTTCCTTTGTTTTGTTTTTCTTTCAAATTTGAAATTTCAAAAGCGGTGGATCTCTCAATCCCTACTGGTGGTGCTTCTTCTACTAGCGGTGTTTGCATTTTGTTTTCTTTATTATCTTTTTTTACGCAAAATCTGCTCATTTTTGGCTAAAATTTAAACCGGTGCACGGGCAGATTGGACTGGTGTACGTCGACGGCTGAAACAAAATGTCAGCTTCAGCTAGGGCGGATCCACAAGGGGCTGGGGGGGGAGGGCTCCAGCCCCCCTACAGCTGGTGCATCAATGAAAATATAGGAGAGGTGAGGGAGAAGAATAGGTGAAGGAAAAAAATGAAGAGAGAGAAAAGAAGAAGAGATCAACCCCTTTCAATTCTATTCTGCACCCGCCACTGACTTCAACCCACTTACGTATTAGTACTCCGTACATATAGCAGCTCCCTTTCTTTTTATTTTTTAATTAATTAAGTACATACATAGAGATTAAGAAGAACAGATGATTGATCTGAAAACAAACTGGTCCCTGATGATTAGGACTTGGTGCGGTGAAACCTGAAAAGGCTACTGATGCTGCACAGCTGCAGTGAACCGGAAACGCACGCACGCACGCACGCGACAGCAGAAGCCCGGGCTTACATAAAGGGAGCCGCTCCGGCGATTCTTCCCCCGACCGCTTCTTCGCAAACCTCCCCCTCCCCCTTCGTCTTCCTCCGTCCCCATCTCCCACGGATCACCCTCTTCCTTCGTCTTCCTTCGCAGACCTGGATTGCTGGTGCGCCGCCGCGCTGCGAGGAGCTAGCCCGCGCGGCCGGCCGGCGCCATGCCTCCCCCCAAGGCCGATGAACTGGTTGTGCACGCCGTCAAGGAGCAGTTCGCCGGCCTCGACTTCTGCATCACCAGCCCCCCGCCATGGCGTACGTTACATACAGCTGCCTGTCACCATTTGGTTTTTATTTGCTTTGCTTTGATTGCCACCCGCCTCCACGCGCTGATAACGCCGGCCGGTGGGTCGATGGTCCGTGGGCTGTCTCTGAACCGCTTGTCGTTCCGTGCTGATCTGCTGCAGTCACGACGGTGCTCGTGGGCTTCCAGCACTACCTGGTGATGCTCGGCACCACCGTCCTCATCGCCACCATCATCGTCCCGCTCATGGGCGGCGGCCATGTATGTGAGCCTGACTGACTGACTGACTTCCTTCTTCTCCATTCCCCTTTATTTCGTTTGCCCGGACCTGTGGACGGATGAGCACTAATCGATGGACGCATGCATGCAGTATGAGAAGGCGATCGTGATCCAGACCATCCTGTTCCTCTCCGGGATCAACACGCTGCTGCAGGTCCACTTCGGCACGCGGCTCCCCGCCGTGATGAGCGGCTCCTACACCTACATCTACCCGGCCGTCGCCATCATCCTCAGCCCGCGATACGCGCTCGTCATCGACCCTCTCGAGGTGCGCACGCACACGCACTACACGCTAAGGATCGATTCTGCTTCCTCTGTTCTTTCTTCAGTCACCGCAGCTGATCGATTCCATCGGTGCCACCTGTTCAGAGGTTCGTGTTCACGATGAGGTCGCTCCAGGGCGCGCTCATCATCGCCGGCGTCTTCCAGGCCGTCGTCGGCTTCTTCGGCATATGGAGAGTCTTCATAAGGTTAAGTCTTTTCTTTTGGTAATGACACATCTTGCTCTTGTACTGAGTGCTGAAGCTGTCGCTGTCATCTTGTGCCCTGGCCCGTGCGTTTCAGGTTCTTGAGCCCCCTCGCGGCGGTCCCCTTCGTCACGCTCTCGGGCCTGGGACTCTTCTACTTCGCGTTCCCCGGGGTGAGCTCGCGGCACGGCCGAGTAGTCTCGTCGTCTTCTTTGGCCGCTGCTGCAGCTTGCTAATCAGTCTAGTCTCTCCTGCAGGTCACCAAATGCATCGAAGTGGGTCTCCCCGCCCTCGTCCTCGTGGTGATCTTCGCAGAGGTAACAGCAACCAACCCGGTGGCTGGCGGTGGAGGATGACCCTACCCTACCCTGCCGACCGTACGGCGCCATGGCTTCTGCAGCGACTGACATCCGTTTTCCGCCTTGCAGTACGCCGCCCACTACTTCGCTAAGGGGAGCATCGTGTTCGGCCGGTGCGCCGTGCTGGTGACCGTCATCGTCGTGTGGATCTACGCCGAGATCCTGACGGCCGCCGGCGCCTACAACGAGAGGGGCCCGTGACGCAGTTCACCTGCCGCACCGACCGCTCCGGGATCATCGAGGGCTCACCTTGGTATGCTAATTGTGAAGCACAATCAGTGCACCGATGTTTGATGTGCTCTGTCTGATTTCTGCTTCCGAACAGGGTGAGGTTTCCGTATCCGTTCCAGTGGGGATACCCGATTTTCCGCTTCCAGGATTGCTTCGCCATGATGGCTGCTTCTTTTGCATCACTTATTGAGGTACACACGCACTGTGTTCTTCTTTTATTTCGTCAGTAAGGATGCGAAATAGTCCCTGGTAAAGATTTTAGTGAACATTGGAAACGTTCCGAAAGGACGTGAAATTGTCTGAAGCTAATTCAGTAAACATTGGCAACATTCCAAAAGGACGCGAAATAGTTAAAGCAAATAGCATTAGCATCTTGAACAATACAATTGCTTGTTCTAAGGCCGATTAATATGTCCCTAAGAGTACCCTATGCTGACTCTGATGACGAGGAACTTCCGATGCAGTCTACCGGCACCTTAATCGCAGTGTCAAGGTACTCAGGCGCGACGTTCACCCCACCCTCTGTGTTCTCGCGTGGAGTTGGCTGGGAGGTAATCAAATAATCAAAATGTTCAGTTCTTCTAACTGTCCTTTACAAGGATTTTCACTGACTGGAAAGCAACTTCCAACAAATATCAGGGCATATCTATCATACTGGACGGGATGTGCGGTACACTGACAGGAACAGCTGCTTCAGTGTAATGCACTCTACTTTAATCAGTTGATAATCTCAGTTAGCAAGCTGAAAGCTTTGAAGTAACCTGCCTTTGTTGCTTTCAAAGTGAGAATGCAGGCCTGTTGGCAGTGACGCGAGTTGGAAGCCGGCGAGTTATAAAGATCTCAGCCTTGTTCATGATTTTCTTCTCATTGTTTGGTAGCCTCTCTCATTCTCTGAAACTTTTAGCACTATATCAGGAGTCTCCAGCCTTTCATGTGTTTTTTCTAGATAATGATCCAGCATTTCATGGTTAGTTATTGCACCTGACTGATACGAACTGCAAATCAACAGCCAAATTCGGGGCGGTTCTTGCATCCATTCCATTGCCGCTTTTCTCTGCACTGTATTGTGTCCTCTGGGCTTATGCAGGTAAGCCTTAACTGTCAGCATCCACGACAGTTTTAGACTTTTACCCATCATAGTATAGAATCTGACGTTTTTTCATACCGTGTTTTGTTGATCTAAACTTGCTTTCTGCCTGAAACAGCTGGTGCAGGCTTCTCCTTCCTTCAGTACTGCAACCTCAACTCCTTGAGAACAAAGTTCATACTCAGCATCTCGTTGTTCCTGGGATTGTCCATCCCACAGTACTTCCGGGTCTACGAGATGTTCTTTGGCTTCGGACCAGTTCACACCCATTCAGTCGCGGTATGCGAACTCGATGCCATAGACGAAAAAAATTCCATTAAACTTCCACATTCTCACCTCTTTCTCCTGCTTGCCATTGCAGTTCAATGTGATGGTCAATGTCATCTTCTCATCGCCGGCGACGGTGGCCGCCATACTGGCCTACCTTCTGGACTGCACCCACCTGTACTGGGAGGCTAGTGTGAAGAAGGACAGGGGTTGGTTCTGGTGGGAGAAGTTCAAGTCCTACAAGTATGATGCCAGGAGCGAGGAGTTCTACCGTCTTCCTTATGGCTTGAGCAGGTACTTCCCCTCGCTTTAGGATGCCGAGAGGAAGATGACAGACCAAGTTCTATGTAACTGGAGGAGCGTAGAAGCTGAACATTAGTTCAAAGGCAATAGAACCATATGTTATATTCCTATCAAGCAGTTGGGACTTGGGAGGGAGCTTGATGTTTTGATTTGCCTTATAAAAAGCATTTTGGATGATAAACTTTTGTAATTACTGGGAGAGTAGGATGGTATCCCCATCAACCAGGGGGAGAATTGTGCAATAATTCAGTCACCATTTTTGCTTCAGATTCGAAACAGAACACAAATGCCTTGACAGCAATTGATTGAAGAACATGGCTTCGATTATTTTCCCACATCATTCACCGTCTAATAAGATCTGCGGCAAAGCTTTTGCCGTCCTTTCGGAAAAAAAAATCCCACATCATCCATGCACTAGTCAAGTGTTCACTTAAGCAAAAGCATAGTCAAGTTACTACCCGAAATGGCAACCCAATTATTTGTCGCCGGTGCCAGCAGATGATCCAGCCGCCGCCGCCTTGGCCTTGGGCACCCACACACGCCCGTGGGGCTCTGCAGCCCCATTGCCGCGGCCGCGCCAGGGTTCAGCCGACCTCCTCCCAAATCGTGCCGGTTGCCGGCGCTGCTGCCCTTCAACTAGGCCCTCGGGCTTCGCCTCCACGGTCGGTTTGCTGCTGCCATCGGCGGCCGAGGTGGGAGGGGCCTGGGCCGGAGCCGCATCCTTCCCCTCCGGAGAATCGCGGCCTGTCGCGGCGTCTGCGAGCCTGGGCGCTGCAGGTCTCGGTTTCCCCGTGTTGCCCGACTTGACGCCTCGCGGCGGCGACGGACCAGCCGTCTTCGCCGGAGCATCGCCCGGGCTCGTCTCTGCGCTCCGGCCACCCGCGCCCTTCCTCCCCTTGCAAGTCAAGTGGCCTGGGGATGATGCGACGGCCGCCTTCCCCGGATCGAGTGGGGCGGCCGAGGCCTTCCCCGTCGCCTTGATTTCGCTCTTCTTCTCCGGCTTGCCGCCGTTCGATGCTGCAGGAGCCGACGCCTCGGCCAGATTACCTGGATCGCCTACAGTATGGCACGAGGAGGCCTTCTTCTTCCCCTTCCCCTTCCCCTTCCCCTTCCCCTTCCCCTTGCACGGCGACTTGTCCGCGACATCGTCCGGCCCCTTCTTGCCACGGTTACCTCCTACAATCCATTCCTTCTCCCGTGCCGCAGCTTCCCCGCACGTCGGCGTTGGCCGCGGGGTCGTGGCTGGTGCCCGATACCCCACGGCCACCCACTGGTGGCCCTGCCCTTGTGCGCGCCCTCCTCGATGCCTCTCCTTGACCCCGCAGAAGGCCTCGCGCGAGACTGCGCGGCCCTTCGTCTCTGCCTTCAGTGCCGCCTCCCGCTTAACCGCGGCGTCCATGGCCGCCTCCTCCGCCTTTAGCGCCGCCGCCCGCTTGGCTGCGGCGGCCTCCTCCTCCCGCCGCCGCTTCTCCTCCTCCTCCTCCTTAAGGCGAAGCTCCTGGAGCCGCTTGAGGCTGACGTAGTTGGGAGGGATGGGAGGCGGCTCCCGCCTCGGCTTGGCGCTCGGCGCCGCCTCCATCGCTCTCCCCTCTCGGCGATGGACCCTGTGCAGGAACGTGACCCGGAAAAAGACAGATTGACGGAATCGCTTTATTAGCTTCTTCTTGCGGGTAGGGGCCCACCATCCATAGATTTTCCGAGCCTCTTCTCGGTTCTGGACTTCTGGCTCTGTCTAGCGTACTGTTTTCTGCAGCTTGGGCGTACTATTCTTCGAGGGTCCATTAATTTTAAATTTAGAGCCCCTCTGGTGGGGTTCCGTGCGGCTCTGGCTTTACTGTCTCCTCCCATGTTCATCTCATATAGCGATATTGTTTATCGGAGTTGTTTTTCTCTTTCCTCCTTTTCTCTCTCACCGACAGCGCCGGAACCGGAGAAGCTCGTTTTTTTTCTCCTCCGGCTCAAACTCCTGCGCGCTACAGTTGCGCTATAGTGTGGGAGCCAGAGCCGACGAGAGCCAACCAAACGCAGCCCTTAACTAGATTTCAACACAATAATAATATCAATATTTATAGGATACTGCTATCGCACGCTCGGCCGCTCCACACACGCGTTCCTACTCAACATGGCAGGTTCATCTTCTTCCTCTCGCGGTCCCATCGCCCCGCTGTCCGCGGCGCCACCTTCTTCCCCTCCTCCCCATCGTCGGCACTATGGCCATGGCGCCCCTGCTCCGGCCCGGCTCAGCCGTCTTCACCGCCACCAGGGCCCCAAAATCGCCCACTGGCCTCCCATCGCCTGGCCGGTCTTTCTCCCCTAAACCCCTTCTCTTCTACGGCCCCCGGAGCTTGGGAAGAATGGGGTGGCGCGAGCGCGGAGGAGGAGGAGGAGGACGTACCTCGCCAAAGCTGAATTCGCCACCACCGTTGGAACCCTAACGGTGGGGGAGGAGATGGGGCGATGGTGCGGGCGCGGGCACGGGGAGGAGGTCGCCGTCGGGGAGAGAGAGCATGCAGGCGCCAGGCATGCGGTGGGCGAATAAGGAGAGAAGGAAGATGACTGAGAGAGAGAAGGGTGGGACGCGGGTGTACGGACTGATGGATTAACCCGGCCTTTCGTAATAAAGTCTTTACCATATTTATATGTGGGTTTCCTTAAAAAAATTATATGTGGGTGTCTATTCCTCCACTTTTTTTATTCCTCCACTTTTTTCTATTACCGTGTGTTCTTCGTTTGCTCTGTTTTACATTTCTTCGTTGGAAATAAGCACCGCTCACCTAAACGATCATTTAGTCTATTTAGATATCATTTGAACGCTACACGGTGGTACACTGTATCCATTTAACCGTTTGTTTATCCTGTTTAAAGGGCCAGTTTGTGTTTTTTTACAAGAACTCAAATATATTAAGCATTGAAACCAAAGTACAAGCATCTGGGAATTCTATCCCAAGAACTAACTTGTAGCTCCAAGGTTACGGCAATAGAACCAGCAAGGTGGCTTTACAAAGAGCTTGATAACACCGGTACACAAAAGGATTCTTTAGAATAAAACTGCACTTCCGCTGATGCAAACACCGGTGATGCCTCCATTGGGACGCTGGGCCTCTGGAGAGAAATAGCCACAATAAAGACATTGCAGATCCTCATTCTCACACTCGATAGTATAGTCGGCACTCTCCTCGACTGTCTGATCGGTCTGTGTCTTCGAGGATTTAATATCTTGAGTCGTAAATTTAGAAGGAGCTTCACTGGACTCAAGAACATAACGTCACGGCCGCCAACGTTAAATCTGAGGACTAGCAGCGTTGAAGAGGGTGTGTGTAAATTTAGGACATATCTATACCTAAACTTTGAAAAGTCTAAAAATGTCACATTCCAAGCCAAATAGCTTAGATCCTATTTGGATTGATTAGCTGCTAAAAGATAGCTAGCTAACTATTAGTTGTTTTGCCTAACTAATGAGATAGCTGTTAATTATTACCTAGCTAACAATTAGTTAGACTATTAGCTGGCCTATTTGATAAAAAAACAAATTATTAGCAACTAATTATTAGCTCTATGGATCACCCAAATATGGCTCTAGTCTATAAAGTACTTACTTCATTCTAAATTATAAGATATTTCGGTCTTTCTAGACATATAGTTTTGCTATATAATCAGATATATATAGTATATCTAGATACATAGTAAAAATAATATATTTACAAAACAAACCGTCATATATTTAAAATAGGGGGAGTAGATGCACTTGTCGTGTGGGTGTATATGCTTGTGTCGTAGAGCGTGTGTGTATATATAGTAAAATTGTAGTCAAAAGTCACTGATTTTTCAAACTTTTGGAGTGCATTTGCACCCTACAAACGCTATACCTCACCCCTAGATAAGTGACCACCTGCTTACCGCAGGTCCTTACAATTGTTAAGAGTGGAGGGCTCATAGTTCGGGCATTCAGGCTACAATTTTACGAGCTTCTAAAGCCAGAGAAGCCCGAGAGAAACGTGGCATTGACTTCTCTGTCTCCCCATTAGTTTTTGCTAGGATGAGAAGTTACTACAGTAGCAAACAATGCAAAATAATGTACGATGTACCCTTCTATCTAAATTCAATTTGTATCGGTAAAATAAATCCAAATTCTAGTTTCTGGAACTATATAAATAATTGCAGGTAAAATGAATTGTGAGGGTCACTTGCTTACGACTTCAAAAGTAACGAACGACCCACGATTAGAGTTACAGTAAAATAATTTTTTTGATTATTTTAAAAGTTAACTCTTTCAGTTGTGTGGGTAGCTCTCAGGAATATTACTCTGTGTGACTGTGCATACTTTCTCAAACACTACCTTGCTATAGCTATGTTTCCTTAGACTCTGTTTAAGCATGTAAAGAAGTTCTTTCTATTCTTGTCTAGGGACTAAGATTTTCACACTTTATAGTGTCCAGGCTACAAAGATTTTCTCATAAAACATTGTGTTAGAGGGATTCACTCTCGATGAGAATACAAAAACAAGTTTCACATACTGTCTTCTTTCCCTCCTTTGTTTCTGTCTTTAGGTAGTGCAAGCAGGAATTGAACCTACCTTTTTTTTTACCCATTTAGCCTTTCTAGGTTAGTGTGTGCTTTTAACCGTTCCCATGGATGCTTCAGTGAGTGAACTAGGTTTTTATTTGAGAGCAAACTAGGTTTTTATTTGAGAGCGGACTATGCTTTTAGTGGTATTACTTCTTGAGCTTCTACTCTTTAGTTAAGAGCGAGTGTTCTTTTTTGAGTTACGGTTCGTGTCGATGTCCCTTTCCGACCGGCTAGTGTTTTTTTTTTTTTCTTTTTCTTTCCTTGAGTTGGGGTTTGGGTTTCGGTGCGTATTGATGTCCCAATCCAACTATCCGAAGTTGTATATGTTTATTTTGAGTCTGGGCTTCATCTACTTTTTAATATAATCGGCAACTCTCTCTTGTCTGATTCGTTTTTTTAAAGAGAGATTTGGAAAAAGACGGAATAGGAAGACAAGATACAGGTAGAGAAGGGGAAGTTTGCAAAGTTAGATAAGCTTGGAATGAGCATAGGAACATGTATTGAGATGATTCCCATGGTTTAAGCATTGCCACACTTGTGTAAAACATTTTTCACTTGTGTACTTGTCGTAACTTGTAAACGATATCACTTGTGTAAAACATTTTTCAGAAGCGAGATTTTTCATTTCTGTTTTCTTCCAGTCATCTCGTGTACCATGGTTTAAGCATTGCCACACTTTGTTCATACAGCATTTGCACGCACATAAGTCAAGCACCAACAGCAATTAAGTTGTACAATAAAAAAAACAATAGTTTTATCATCAATCTGTCGTCCATGCAATAGCAAAAGCTTTTTTGCTCAAGGTTATTCTCAAACTGCACTGCAGATCCATCAATGAAGTATCCCACATCGCAAAACGCTTAGCTCAAAACGGAGCAACCACACACAAATGCTACCGGTAAACGGCCAATGTCCTGATGCCCTCACTGGCCCCTGCATAGAGCAAATCATTTCCCAATGAATAAAGAGAACGGTTCATGCAAACAATTATTTTGCTGATGAAGCAAAAATAATAAATAAAAGTTAAACAGCAACATAGTTCCAAATGATTGGTGTTGTATTGGCATATCACCAACAGTGACTATTTGCACGACATTCTCAGACACCTAAATGATGGATCAGAATGTGGCAACGTGGTCATAACTAATAATAACCATGATAACTAATCAAATATGAGATCACAGCTATGATCACAACCCACACAAGTCAGAGCTAAGATAAAATGCTACTGTATCACACTATATATAAATACTACTGTATAATGCAACAATTCTTCTGTGCAATGAATGTTCACTTGTAAATTAGTAACCTATTTTCATGATTATAAAATAAACAAAAGGGGCAACTCTGGGATGCTATTCTACATTTCAGTGTGCGCCTTTTTATTAGTTCTTGGATTTGTAAGCTATTTGCAACTGGTCAATTCATCAAGAACATTCTAGCAGGTTAGACTAAAAAATAGTGGGCTACTGGCTGCCTATCAGAACTCAGATAGTATATGGGCAATGCAACTTGCAAGGTAGTATGAGCTGTGTACAGGAATATATGCTGAAAATACATGACATCAGGAAATGCAATATTTTACATAAATGTATTGAGGCACCAAGAAAGTTCATTGGCATATGCATCTACATTCACTACTCACTAGACAAATTCAGTGAGAAAAAGGTAGAGAAGTCTTTTGAATTAATATAACACTTCAGATGAAATATAACACTTCTCATGGGATAACTCTATTACTATCTGAAAAGGGGACAACTCTCTTAATCAATGTGACATGTATGGAGCTAATTTCGGATCAAGTAATTTGTAACTTATGAATTACTTTGATATTCATAAGGAGCTAAACCAACCAGTTAGACTCTTATGTTCAGTAGAGTCACAAAAAATATTGAATTCATTATTGGATCATACACTCGGGTCATAGGTTAGCTATTTTCTCCACTTCTGATTGTGAACACATGAAATTTATAAATCTCTGATCTGAGGGCAGCGTGTGCAGTCACTCTACTATTTATAAAAATTTCACCTTATTAGGCATTTTTTAACAGACAAGAAAGAGATTACCCAGAACTTTGCTAATGGAGCTAAAATTCTAGCGATTATATAACCTAATAAAAAGGGATTAAAAGAATCAAGCCTAAATCAGCTAGATATAATACCAAAGGTTTATAAAAAGGATGGAGTGCCAAATTTGCAACAAATATGATAAAGATGCAATATCAAATTAGTGACACAAACCTGTGCAACCTAATAAGTTGGATCACCACATGCCATGAAAATATCTACCAAAAGGCTCCTAAATTTGTAGCATGTTCAACATCCTGGTACTACCATACAGCGCACCTGTTTCGTGGATGCCTAAGTGAGCTAAGGATGAGTTGGGTGCAAATGAAAGTATTCCATCTGAACTATGGATTCTCAGCTCACACAAGCCTTCCAATCCAGCCCCCTGGACCAGGGTGAAACTGCGCTCAGAAGTAAAAATTCTCCTCAGCGCAACTCAATCCGCAAACCCACTCAATTCCACTAAGCGTGGTAAATAGAACTTCACCAGGCATTTCGTCGAGCACTTGGCGATCACAATAGGACACATTCCAATTCGTCACCGCAACCCACTAATGTCTGATCAACAAATCAACCGGCAAGAGATGGCAAGCACAAGCACACAGAACTACAGAAGCGTTGCGCTAACAGGTACAGGTATTGGTGGAGATGGGAGGGTGGCCCTGACCTGATCTTCTTGATGAGGATCTCGCGGAGCTTCTTGCCGAGCTCCTGGGACCGGACGCGCTGCATAAGCGCCTTACGCGCGAGCACGCGCTTCTCCGAGTCCTTGACGTGGTGGTGGGTGCGCGCCCGGATGAGGCGCTCCATGCCGCTGGACCGCATCTTGCGCTCCATGACCGACAGCGCCCGCTCCAGGTTCCCGTCCCTCACCTGCACCACGATGCCCCGGGCTTGCTGCACCTGCCCGCGGTGCCCTGCCTCCATCACCGACGGCCGCGCAGCCGAAGCCGCGGCCGCGAGCCCACGCGCCGCCCGTGCCACCGCCTGCATCGTTCTCTTTCGTCTCCTCCCGCCGCCGCCGCACACACTCACTGTAGCCGCCGCCGCACACGCTCGATGGAGCGTCGGATTCGGGATGTATACTTTCGTGACCGTTCGTTTTTCTTTCTGCAGTTAGAGCCCTGTGGTCTTTTAAATTTGAGTGAAATACACCGGCGGCCCTTTAACTCGTTGGCCTGTGCCAATTCGGTCCATGAACTTGCAAACGCGGAAAATAGACCCCTGAACTTGTCGAGTTATTCACCGCAGGTCCATTTCCTATCCGGCGCAGCCTCCAGACGACGTGGCAGTGCCAGCGTGGCGGACGAAGCACGTGAGCCGCACGTTTCAACGGGCCTGCCACGCTCGCTTGCCGATAGTATGCAGTCAGCTTGCTCACCGCCGACGGCCGCCGACCGTTTTCGCCGGCCTCAGCGTCTTGACGCCAAATTGCTTCGTGGCGTTCGCAGCGAGGCTGAGTACACCTAAGCCGCGTCCCGCCGTTAAAAGCGCCGAAACACCGGCCATCTCCCTCTTTCTCCTTCCTCTGCTCACCGTCGAGCTCCTCAGTTCGCCGGCCAATTCGTCGCCACCAAACCATCATCGTCTAATTCCTCTTGCTAGTTGAATCGCCTGCTCCTTGCGCACCCATCCGACCCGCTTCGCGCGCGCCTTCCTCGCTTACGGAATTGGCCAGCAGCGCGTTGTTCCATGAATGACGGCTTGCCTTAGCCGCCGTGGACAACTCCACCATGGCCAGCCTCCTCTAGAACTCCTCTCGCCTCACCATTGGTTGTTTTAGCTCCTCTTTGATGCCTCCATGCTTTGCACCAGTGTCTTTCGCTGCACGAGCACCGCGTCTTTCGCCGCCCGCAGCACCCTGCTCTCGCCGCCAGCTCCGTGTGCTCGCTGCCGCATCGCGCTTGTCGGAGCCGCCACGCCACCTACTCGTCTTTGCCACGCGCTTCGCCCGCCGCGGCACGCAGTATGCGCTCTCCTCCGTGTACGGTGCTTTCGCCGGCATTGGCGCCGCTCGCTCACAGCGCTTCGCGTGCTTGCTACAAGGTCGCGCTTGCCGAGCCACCGTGTCACCATGCTTTCGCCGCCGGTGCCGCCACGCCGCTCGCGCAAATGGCTGAGGACGCCGGAGAAGGTGCTCGCCGGCGGCGAGGGAGAGGTGCTGGGGCATCTCCATGCCCTGACGCACCCGTGGAAGGAAGAATCAAGGTCGTGGGATCGTCTGTGGTACGCCGAGCCCCACGTCGCGACCATGATGTTGCCGGCTGAAGACGAGCGGCTCGACGGCGAGCAGCTCAGGCGACGGAGGAAGTCCTGGAAAGGGATCGACGCGTACTGCAGGTGATGGAGAAGGCGCTGACGTTCTTTTCTTGGGTCGCGAAGGGGTGGAGCGGTAGGACGCAGCGGTGGCAGAGCTTCTGCTTGCGGTCATGGCGGACGGCTGCGGCGTCAACCGGCGTTCGGCGCGACCTAATGATGAAAAGGACAAACGGAGAGCCGATTAGCATGGAGGCATCAAAGAGGAGCTAAAACAACCAACGGTGAGGTGAGAGGAGTTCTAGAGGAGGCTGGCCACGGTGGAGCTGTCCACGGCGGCTATGGCGAGCCGCCGCTGCGGGAACAACGCGCGCGGGCCAATTCCGGCAGCGAGGGTGGCGCGAGCGGGTCGGATGGGTGCGCAAGGAGCAGGCGATTCGACTAGCAAGAGGAATTAGACGATGATGGTTTGGTGGCGACGAATTGGCCGACGAACTGAGGAGCTCGGCGGTGAGCAGAGGAAGGAGAAAGAGGGAGACGGCCGGTGACTTTGCGCTTTAACAGCGGGGACACGGCTTCCAGGTACTCCACTCGCCTTGCGAACGCCATCAAGCAACACGCGTCAAGACGCGCGAGAAGCAAATGAAAATGGTCGGCGGCCGTCGGCGATGAAAGTGAGCAAGCCGATCACAGATCGCCGCCAAGCGAAGCGTGGCAGTGCCTATTGAAACGTCGCGGCTCACGTGCGTGTTCCCGCCACCGGCATCGCCACGTTGCCTCGAGGCCGCGCCGGATAGGAAATGGACCTACGGTGAATAACTTGACAAGTTCATGGGGTCTATTTTCCATGTTTGCAAGTTCGTGAACTAGATTGACACTGGCCGACAAGTTAAAGGGCAGCCAGTGTATTTCACTCTTCAAATTTCCTATAGAGTTCGGGGGCTTTTACATTTTTACAGTTATAAAGATTGGCATTCATCCGAATATCACTCTTAGGATGACCCTTACAACTTTACATATGAGAGAAGTTTTAGTTATAGATTTACCACTTTTACGCATGTGGCATGCCACGCGAGTTCGACACGCTGACGCCTAGTTAGCATGAGCACGTGAAATGTTGTTGCTACCCCTGCCTTGCTCCTCTCTCTCCATCCCCGACAGCTGGGTCCCGCGGCATCTGTCACTACCAGGTGGGCCCCACTAGTCAGCTTTGTCATGCTGCTGCTTTGTTTCGTGTGATTCTGGTCCGGCGTCGGCGGAGCAGATGAGGAAGAGGAGGAGCACGACGCCGCCGCCGCGCTCCCACCGCCGCGACCCTTGCCTAGGAACAGGTCGGGGAAGTTGAGCTTGGCGTTCTCGCCGCGGAGCTTGAATGCCTCGCGATCGTACGCCATGGCGGCGTCCTCGGCGGTGTCGAAGGTGCCGAAACCCGCGGTAGCGTGTGGTTCCATGAGGCGGATCTCCGCCACCCACTTCCCCAGCATACGCCGCCACACACCGCCAGAGAGCTTGGTGGGCGGCCCGACGCAGCAGCAGCAGCGGCATTTCTTTGCATAATGGCGTCACGCGGCATGGCCCCGCCGCAGAAACCACGGGGCTCGAGTTCACGCCTCGCTCTAGTAGCGCTTGCATTGCATTTTCTTTGCACCTCCGGCGCCAGAGCCTGCGGCGGGAAACGAGGAGCCGCCGCCACCGCCACCGCCTTCAATCACAGGCGGTACGCCATCGCTTCAAACGAAATCATCGATGGTGCTTTGCAAAAAGGCTGTCTTTGTGGCGGCAGAGGTCATTGGAACACGCTAGAGTACTACAAAGAATGAGGAGCCTCAGCGACCAAAGAAGGGACGCCGCACTACCGCTCATCGTTGATGCCGGCCGAGCTGATCGTACACCTAACGAAAATATGTCGCGTCGATGGCGGCTGACGTTGCCGCGGCGACAAGGGGTTGGAAACATAGGACGAGTCGGGGAAGGAGAGGAGCGAGAGAGAGCAAGGACGAGGAGCGGTTGAGGCGACGTTCCGGGCAAATCTTCTTCGGGGTTTGAGCAATGCGTCACGGCCAAGCGCGTCTTCTAAAATCGGCGCCCACCGCCGCCATGCAGTGAGCCCTAGGTCACACCTTCCCTTTTCGGCCCCTCCATGACCTCCTCGCCGTGCCGTCCCCCCGCCCACCGGCTCCATCCTCCATCCGCCGCCTCAACGCCTCCAGAGCCGCAATCTATGAATCGTGTGTGTAGAGTGCCGTGTCCCGGCCACCCGCTGCGAACTGCACCAACCGAGGAGAGCTTGAAGCCGCGCGTGGAAGAAAAGCCGGGAGCGAGGCTTTGCCAAGGAAACGCATGGGGCCCACCTGGCAGTGACAGGTGTCGCGGGACCCAGCTGTCAGGGATGGAAAGAGAGGAGCAGGCAGGGGTAGCAACGACATTTCACATGCTCATGCTGCTAGACGCTAACGTGTCGAGCTCGCGTGGCATGACACGTACGTAAAAATGATAAATCTATAACTATAACTTGTCTCGTTTGAGTGCCGCTAGAGTTCGTAGGTCAAAGTGGCAAACCCCGCAAAATAGTTTCCTCTTCCCATTGCAACTCCAGTCGCAATTTGGGGCTCTGAGTGCCAGTGGCGACGACGGGCGATTGCGATTTGCGAGCCGACGACGGGCAATTGCGATTTGCGAGCCGCCGTCCTCGCGAATTCGGCCGCGGCGACTGCCGACTGACGTGGTACACTTTCTCTCCCGCTCTATCTCTCTCCCCTGCGTTAGGTTTCACCGTTTCACGCAGCGGCAGGCGATTTCCGCCGATGCCCCCGGCGAGGGTTTGTCCCAGTGGAAAGAAGCACCGCTCGCATGGAAAAATGTCGTTCTAGTACGACTTCGATGTCCAGTATACTGCTGACCGACTTGGCTATGCTCCGTTCGTTTTTTATCTTAACCTGCACCTGCTGTTACTTGTTTTTTTAATAATAAAATGCCCTTTGTGTGTAAGCTCTTTAGTGTAAAACGAAACCCCCAATATGCCAAAGTTCCTTTTGCAGCTTCGGTTAGTAAAGTTCAACTGCCTACCTGTATATATAGAAGAATTGAAATAGAGAAGAAAACCGTGATGAAATGATGAGTCAAATACTGATGCCACGTGGGTTTGTGTGAATCAACTGATAAAATTGTTACCGAAATAGAGAAGAAAACTGTGATGAAATGATGAGTCAAATACTGATGCCACGTGAGTTTGTGTGAATCAACTGATAAAATTGTTATGGACCCAACCGTGTTGTGCCACCCTTTTTCTATTTATGGTTGAATGTGAAAAGCTTGTCGCTAGCAGTTATTACCTTTTCTTGTGGGGAATAGCTCTCACCTATTTTCCTATAATCTTTCAGGGAAACAGTTTCTGTTCCACTCTGCAACCGATTCAATTCGTGGATTTTGCGTACGCAAATGCAGTGAAATATGTCTTAGCCTCGGTTAAGTTTAAGTACTTATATTTTGTATAGGATCTGTATACTGTCAGAAGTCTGCATCTTCGAAAAACATTTTTAAGTACAAGTTTGTTATTATACCAAGCAAAAATGTTAGATGTTATGTGCTAATATGTGTTGGTCCTTAGTTGTTTGTGCATCTGATACTTGTCCATCCGTTTTCTCTGTTTGAAATAAACAGAAGGTGGTGCATGCCATATATATATGATTATTATGCTTGCACTATTGTAAACTATGTGATTATACAGTACAATGTAA